AAAAGTCACAACCAATAATGATCACATAATCTTAGAGAAAGTTAAAATTGAAATAATGAAGGTCACAGCTTATCATTACTGCCACAGCATGAATAATGAAGGTCACGGATTCTATGTGACAAAAGAGATTGAAATAACACAATTAATTGCAATCACGTCACCACTTTACACAATAATTTGTCAAAATAAATTGGACACAAATCACATATTACATGCACAAATTGTAATACCCAAACCAGGAAAGTTTAAAAGATTTAATAGGTACTACTCATACCAACAAGGTGCACTTTCTTTTTCGAAAATCTATCGTTAGAAACTCTATAGTTAAGCGTGCTTGGCTTGGAGCAATTCTATGATGGGTGACCCCCTGGAAAGTTTTCTTGGTGAGCGTGCGAGTGAGGATAAAGCATGCTGAAAAGACCCACGTTGGTACATTGGGGACAGTACGTCATCGATCTAACGATCGGGACAGCCCATTAAGTGGGACCCGAGTCACTACAAGTGGTATCAAAGCCCGGTTGCCGGCCAGAAAATGGGAACTAAGTGCTATGCGAGACAAAGTGCTACATCATAGGGCAGGAACCACCTCTTGAACTCGTAGGAGCCATGGTATCAGAGACCGATTGCCAGCCGGAAATCGGGAACTAAGTGCTATGCGGGACAAAGTGCTACGCCATAGGGCGGGAGCCACCTCTTGAACCCGTAGGAGCCACCTCTAGAATCCCAACGCCTGACAATGGATCCTCAGATGGATCAAGCGCGATGAGAACGTTACGAGTCTAACGGGGGTAATTGTAATACCCAGACAAGGAAAGTTTAAAAAATTTGATAGGTACTACTCATACTAACAAGGTGCACTTTCTTTTCCTGAAATCCATCGTTAGAAACTCTACATATCCGAAGTTAAAGATATATAACCTATTTTATTAATCACTTCCCACATATCCGAAGTTAAAGATATCACATCACCATATTTTTCTACATCAGCAATCAATAGTTTCTTTGAATTAACGAAATATTCTATTGTATCAGAACGAAGAGTATTTCGACTTTCCCCAGTGTATCTCGATTGAAGATATTGTTTCACGTAGGAAACGAAATGTTGGTTGTCCACTATTCTAGTGGCAACTCAGTTGCAGTAACGAACTTCATCATTCCCGTTCTACCTTTCTCCTCCGAATACATTGACGTAGAAAATGGCGTAGTAGTAGCACCAGTGCCTAGACTACCAAATTGTAGTTACGTTTGACCAGCAGGAAGAATTCCATATTTGGCCGCACATGTTTTGTAGTGACGGTTGAGGTGGGTGGTTTCAATGCATTTTTGTTATGCAAATCGTTGTTGACAGTATTTACATACTCTTTGATATCTGGAACTCCATTGACCACACGACCAGTTTGAACCAATTTAAAATGGTCCCAACATTTTACTTGTCTTTTCCCCTTTCTCTTCCCTCTTACGTCAGGAATATCTAATACATGTTCATCATCATGTTCCAAATCAATTGGATGACTAGCATCAACATCAACGTCATCCAAATCAATTGGATAACTACTTTCATGAGCATCGAAATCCTAAATATTTTCTGAAATGGGTAATTCATTTGGATCCATGAATTCATTCTCGAATTGACTGTGGGGTGTGACAGGTGATTCGCATCCGACACCGAACAAGTTTTCAACAAATGAGCATGGATCCATTTGTGATTGAAAATTTGTAACTATTGAATTATTGAAATTAAATGTTGAAGTAGAATTGAAATGTTGATTATGTAGTAATGTAGAAAATCGATAAAAAAATAAGATGTAGAAGAGTATAGAATGATATTGAAATGTAGAGGGTAGAGTAGAGAATAAGAGATTGATAGTAAGTTTGGTGGAAAAAGTGGATGATTGGATGGGTATTTATAGGGGAAAATGAAATAAAAATAAATAAATAAATAAGAGGACCAGAACGGTCACTGAAGCCACGAGTCGCCAGTTGCCACCCCTATAGCGATCCAATACAAAACACAATCCATTCCTATTCTCATAAGCCTTTTTCAGGTTTTTGAAAAACCATGACCAAGATCTGTCATTCTTATTATCTCCAATTCAAAATGCAAATATGAATATGCTGTTATTAGCGTCATGTGTAATTGCTTTGAAAAGAGTACCACCACAGTGTCCATTCAAAATACCCATCAACCATAATCACAGGCTTGCAATGCATCTATCCTCGAATTGATGCACCAAGTGGCATGAAACGGTATTTTGTATTGCATATAAAGATAGGCCCAATTTCAAAATCTCCTTATTATGAAAAAACATCCATTCTTCTACCTCCCTAGCATCGACAACGAATACAACTGTGACTTTATCTTCATATCCGTAACCAGATGGATCTACTGTTCCTTGGTGTATTTTTTATGTTAAATTTTGTAATGATAACAACTCTCCTCTAGATTGTACATAGATTTGAACCATGGTAGATTGTTGTTCTATTTCTATAGGAGTCACCTCAATGTTTGTTGGATATTTAGCAAGATCATAATCCATACACTTTAGCATCATGTATGAAAAGACATTATTATCACTTTTTATTCGGACAAAGACAGATCAATGTTCAATAGATATGTCATTGTGACTATCATCTTAGTAGAATTCAACCTAAACTGGATCATAACAATGTCGACGAGCTTCCTATAACAACAATTACAATCAATCAGCACCAATGATAATTGTAACCCATTCAACAAACATTCATACTCGAACCCCATCTCTGCATATGTACACAAAATGATCGATCACATATGTAATTAGGAGTCACAACTAATACTGATCGCTTATTATTATTGTAGCTCAAAATTTTGAATTAAATATTGTTACAGCTTCTCATAACTTCCACATCACAATGTAATGAAGGTCACACATTCAATGTAAAGGCACGGCATGAAATAACGAGTATAATTGCATTATTAGAATTAAGGATCACAAGAATTTTGGACAGCACAGTCAATCAAATTGTGTATATGTAGGTCATATACACTAATTTTAGATTGTAGACTTCAAAATCAAGTCACAGACATGCATTTATTAATATAACATAATCTGTATATTTGATCAATTATATGATTTTCGTGGAATTTTTATTCACGATTACCATTACATGTCACAATTAATACGAGTTACAGCTACTCATTACAATTATACAGCAATATGTAGAAACGCCATAAATTTAACACCTATCAATTGTGTGACTACGGCACCTTTGAAATCTAATTCGAAAATCCTGAACAACAATTCAATACAGCAACTGCAATTTAGCCAAAACCTTTTGAGCTTCTGATTTGATTGTCATCAATCTTAGACTAGAAATATCCAAATAATTTCAAAATACACTATTCCAAAGACGTAGATGTTAAAATAGGTTTTTGCGACTTTTGTACTAAATTGAGCGATGAATGTGGGTGTTCCTAGGATGTGAATTTTGTTTATTCTGTTTATATGATCTGAATTTTGAAATTTTAAACTTATTATCTTAGAATTGAAATGAGATATATTTAATATCTGACATATGAATTTTTTCCATATTATTGTACCAAACACACCCTAATTGTAGACAATTTGTAACGACCCGACCTTACGCCGTAGCCGTTATCATATCATACGTATTGTCCGCTTTGGGAGAGTCTAGGCCAAGCCAATTAGTACCAGAATTCAACTTAAATCTCCCATATGACCAGAATTCAACTTAAGTCTCTCATATGATGGAGGTTTTGGGTTCGAATTTTGGGGGGACGCGTCAGAAAGCCATGGGGGGTAAGATGGGCCTATACTCTCCCAAAGCGGCAATATGTATGATATGATAACGGCTATGGCGTAAGGTTGGGTCGTTACAAAAAATGCGCATTTTTTTGTAACGACCCGACCCGACCTCGCGCCGGAGCCGTCATCATATCGTACGTATTGTCCGGTTTGGGAGAGTCTAAGCCCATCTTACCCCTCACGGCTTTATAACGCGTCTCTCAGGATTCGAACCCCAGACCTCCATCATATGAGAGATTTAAGTTGAATCCTATTACCAATTGGACAATACTGTAATGCACCAAATTTTCATCAATTCAGACTGTTACGAAAAATCTACTTTTCTTTGTAATAAAAGCTGAATGACAAAAAAATATAACTGGAATTCTTTATTTTTAAATACACACACACACACACACTAGGTGCAAGCAACGTGCAATGCACGTTTGCTTAGTTTATATTTAATATTTTTGTTTAATAATTAATTTGTTATTAATAAAGATGTAATTTTTTTTGATTAATTAATGGNAACCCACCTCAAATCAGTTTAGTTTTATTACGTTTTTATTGTTTTCAATTTAATTTGTATCTAAAAAATTAATAAATAGAATTAAAATTTAGACGGGATGGTAAATTGAGATATTTTAATCCCATCCCAATCTCATGTAGCCTCTCGAAAATTTTCGAAAAAGCAGGGATTGCAGCCCCAAACCAATCTTGATCCATTGCCATACATATATTTACCACGAAATGGGGGCCAATGGAGTTCTGGGATGTTAATTTTAGTACTACTATTTTATCGAGTAAATAACATTAAAAGTAAATTAACTTTTCATGATCTGATTGCAATGAATTAAAGTTTGATGACCAATTGAGATTTCACTAAAGCATACAGTACCAAAAATGAAATTAAAGTCTTGGTGTCCTCCCCAATCCACTCCCATTTTTCTGTTTTTCTCTTATAATTTTCTTTCTTGTTAGGGTAATTATATTACCACAACAAAATTTACTTAATACACCACATTATAATTTCACCACATTTAAAATATCATTTTAATAAATACACTACAACCATTTTACTACTATACCCCTAAAACAATAAAAATGAAAAATGAAAAAAAACAAAGTGGTGTACACATCCTCAATTATTAATCGGCTTCTCTTCTCAACCATTTCTTGCCATCAGAGATACTCCCTATACGGTAACCATGGGAACTACTTCCGGCGAAGGAGAAAGCTTCGAATAGAGGCGTTTAGAATGGTCGATTGCTGTTCCTTCATGTCCTCCTGCTCAGTGGTGAAGCCGTGAAGGTTTATTGTTTGAAGAATGATTCTTGGAGGAGGATTGAGAATTTTAAGGGTGGCACGCCTATTCATGATATGGGCAAATTTGTGAATGGGAAGCTCCATTGGTTGGCTAGTCCTAGGGCGGTGCACACCAGTTCTAGGTGGGATGTTGTTTCTATTGATGTAGAGAGGGAGATATATGGAACCGTAGAGCAGCCGAATTACGGGGAAGAAAATTTTTTTTGGTGTGACGTTAGGGGTGCTAGGATGATGCATTTGTGTACTTTGCAATTATCAAAAAACTTGTGCTGATGTGTGGGTTTTGAACAATTATGGAGTTAAAGAGTCTTGGACTGAAGTTGTTTCCATTCCTTAAATTGATGAGCCTGGGAAATATGTGTCCTCAATACCATTGTGCATACTACTGAATGGGGAAGTTCTATGGTCCTTGGATCGTCTTTTGTAGTTTACAACCCGAAAGAAAATTCTTTTCGGTTTCCCAACATTAGTAATGTGAATGATTTCCTTGAAGTGAATACTATATTGAAAGATTAGTTTTACCTGCTGCTGATGGTGGAACAGGGTGGCAAAACGAGGAAAGGTAAGACAAGGTACACGGTGTATTATATTATTTTTTCAATTGTACACGTCCTTTTTCTTATTAATATAACCATGAATATTCTCAAGTTCCATTGATATTGGAGCATATTTGGCTTTACTCAAAAGTAATCTTTTGAACTTGAAAGTATGTTCTTAATATGCTGAACTGAATGAATGTGTCATGTGTAATCTGGTGCATTGTACAATTAGTTTCTATATCGTGACAAGAAATAAGTGCTTAGAGGAGGAACAAGCTATTTTTCAATGGCGTATTCTGTTGCTTTATGGTGCAGCTATCAGTGTCTTGGCCTCTTGGGTATGTAATGTGTTCTCTATAAATTCTATTATTGTGGGCAGGAATAGAGAAACATTGAAATATGATCTTTGGGAATGGACGTCTGATAATTCGTTATTGAAGATATTGGGTCATTCGACGTGTATGTTATTTACTTGTTGATAAGGTTTTTGTATGGCCAAATTTCAGCATCCCTATTTGTAAACTTTGAAATGCCAATTGATCTTTAATACAAGACGTGATTCTGGACGGTAATTTAATTTGATCTTTCATTTATCCATCTTTGGTTATGGTTCATACAAGAAAACCCACCACTACTTCCCAAATATCAACCCATCTTAAGTTTGAAATTTACTTTGTTAATGTTGAAAAGGAGCTTCCAAATAAGTTTGAAATTTACTTCGTTCGTCTTACAAGTGCCAAGCAACACAAGAGGAAGAAAAAACGAAAGTAATTAAAAATAAAAAAAGTAGTTTAGTCTCACTAAGGAGCTTCTATCACACCACAGTCAGTAGTCTTTCTCTAATTCATTTTCTTCTTGCTCTGGACGATCCTTGTGCTGACTACGGAGAGTTTAGGTCAAAAATTTCATGCGTAGCTACATCGGTACCAATCATCTCTTTGAATGTTTCAATTCTTAATTTATACAAACTCTCCCATCCACTTGCAATGTCATCTCTATATTTGTACCAATTATACGCCACGGGTGGAATTGGACAATTAGGCTTCAAGTTAACCTGTGCAAGTGATAAATTAAATTAGCAACAATAAGTTTACACCACAATGACATAAAGCAATCTCATTAAAATAAATACCTGAACAAAGTGATTGTTATTCACAAAACCCAATGATATAATCTTCTGATATAATGGTAGAGGAGGTGGAGAGTGCAATGGTAGGAATGTCAAACATTGTATAGAAGATAGGAGGACAAGTACAACACCATATCGAGATGCTATCAAATGGCCCATGTCAGGCATTGTCATCCATCGGTCAAAGGGGGCACCAATATCAAAGTAATCCAGAATATATAACAACTCTTTCACCCTTTCATTACTACCATATAGTTTTACATAGGCATCATAATTAGATTTCACTTCAGCAATAAGGTTACTTCGAATATGCAACCAAGCCTCCTCTCCCAATCCCAGCGAACTAGCCACTGCCCTAAAACCACAATGACCATCAGACTTAACATCAACGACTTTAAATATGAAATCTTTGACGTTATCATGGAAACAAGTTGTGTACTGGTCTAAAGTAGTCATACGGGTTTGCCTAACTTTCAGTTTATCCTTCTTTGGAACTTTGACGGAACTGGTGATGATAGGAAAATTACTATCATTACCTGACTCAACTATTTCAAAATATGAAAGAGCCCTTTTAGTTGAAGTATCAACTTTTGATGAAGGTCGGCCTTGGTTTTTACTTTCTGAGCAGGTGGCACCAAAGAAGTAGTGGAGGGTTCATACATTTCTCGTAACTTCATTTTAAGAACTAGTTTACCTGGATCGTCGCATTCCCCGAACAATCTTTGAATATTCTCCAATTCAACTACAATATTCAACTTGGAAGAAGTGTCATTTGACGGAATCAAGGTGTCTAATTTTCTCCAATGAGGGTGAACAGCTGACAATGGAATTGGGCGATTTATAACCATGTATTCTGCAATCACACATGCACATGGCAAACCATGTGTGGATCTAAGAGTGCAATGACAAGCACTTTTGTCCAAACCAATACGTTCTGCTTGATTTGATTGCCTTGATATAAGATCCATTGCACTCTTGGATACTAAACCACGCAACTCTCTGAAAAGGCTACGTTTGAAGTTATGTTGAACCAAATTCATGCTTTGTTCGAATGAAGCTTTTATCTCACTGAATTGCAATTCCAAAAGGTGATGCATAACTTTCCATGAAGTATCAAAATCACCTTGTGATGATCCAAGGTGTTTCTTCAACTTAGAATGTGTACTCTCAACCCTGTGAACAATATGAAGATATTTTATTTACTCAGATAAATCGAAAATAATTTTTTTTTTGTTGATTGAAAGACTAAACAATGTTAATAATACAAGTAATTATAAGCAGTATATATGTTACCTGTTTGTCGTGACATTACCGTAGTGCATAATTTTATTTGTCCAAGCTGCAACGAATTTCTCTTTATATTTACTCAACCAAGACCCGAAAACATAATCCAATGCTTTCGGAAATTGTGCAAATTGTAAAAAAAAAAGTTTTCATCAATTGCTCATATACGTCCTCCGTATTGGATGCAACAAGTACGCTCCAACACCTACAAAAAGCATCCCACTCTTCTTTTTTATCAAAAAACTTCTTTGTATTGGCAGATACATTTTTCGATATGTGCCATGTGCACAATAAATTTTTGGCTTTAGGAAATATATTTTAAACTGCCTGAATAAGAGCCAATTCCCTATATGTGACAACAACCTGTGGCAAGACATCATGATTCATTAAGGTTTTCAATTTTTCCATTGCCCAAGTATAATTTGCTTCCCGTTCAGCTTCCATGAACACGAAAGCAATAGAAAATGTCATCTGGGTTGAAGTAACACCAACAATCTCAAATAGAGGACATCGATATCTATTGGTTTTGTAAGTACAATCCATTATAAGTATACATGAAAAGGCATGTAGAAAATCAACAGATGTCGGATGTGCAAAAAAAAGGTCTCTAACTTCATCTGTTTTTTCATGAGACCTATGCCACTCAACATAATTGTGTTTTTTTAACTTGCTCAGTAACTGTTGCATCTGAGTTTTTCCAGCCTTCTCGATCAATCTATGTCTTGCACGTGCGTTGTAAATAGTTCTCATTGTGCTAACATTATTTGGATCCCGTTCTTTCAAAGTCATCAATATGTTCCTAGGTTTTACTAAACTTTTTGACAAATCTATTAAAATATTCTCCTCTTCATTAGTTAATCTAGCCACATAAGGATGTCCTTCTAGATGCTGTGCGGCTGGGTGATTATGTAGTCCACATAATACTTGTAACATCCAATCATGCTCATTCGACAACTTCACACCATTTAGAGCAAATGGACACTCACACTTTCGTGTTCCAACAGATCTCTTTCATTTCGGTTCATTATCAAAGTCATATTTACGTTTTCTATATTTTCCACCACGTTCACATCCATACCGTATACGAGGCTTGCGTCCATACCCACCACGCTCAGAATGTGTTATAACAACAACCAAAACAAGCTCCTTCCCAACTGTGCAAACCCAATTAGATAATGAATCTCGACTATGAAATACCTACACCATCAATATTAAAAATGTATTAAAAAAATTTGTAAAAAGAGTTGAATACTGGACACATAAATTTAACATTTGATTTATTCATACTTGGTCAGTAGTAAAATTTTGCGTATAATCATATATATTGAAGTCGTCATCCTTTTCCTGACATTAAAAAAAAAAAAAAATTGATTATAGTTATACAAACTTAAATTTATTACGATCATGTAAAAGTATAACATAAAAATAAAAACTTACTTGTTGTTCACTAACAACAATTTTCCAGAATTCAGTTGAAGTCACGGCAATAGATGTATCCATTCTCGTTGAACTAAATATACCATAATTCGGTGAGAAAGCATATTAATCATAACTGAGAATGAGTCTTTTTATTTGTATTGTGAAATTATCCCCAAGTAGAATTGTGTGAACATATTTAATGAATCAAAAACAGATAAAAACTTTTGAAGATTACACATTGATAAATTCGTTTACCTGTGGTATCATGAAGCTGTAAAAAAAAATAATAATAATAGGTTTATGTTTGTGGTGGAATAATAATGAATTTCATTAAAAAATATATAAATTATGTAGTTACTTACAATATATGGAGCAACCAAAATGAATGTTATGGAGAAATTAATATGACATGCTCTACAATCTGCCTTTGCGTTGTACCTATAGAACTGTAGAAGAAGGAACCAATAAAGACGGTTGGAATTGGAATTGTGGTGCCATTGGAACTGTGGTGGGAATAGGAATCAAATAAAGTAGATTTACTTTACAAAAAAATAGAAAGAAATAACTAAAAGGTTATTTATGTCATTTTATTAATATTCAATTTTATAAATCAAAAAAATATTTAAAAATGTGGTGCCACAAAAACTTTTTGTGGTGGCAATATAATTACCATTTTTGAAATTTTGAACAAAATTTTCAAAATATTCCTTAACAGTTTTCAATTTTTGTGGTGGCAATATAATTACCCATATAGTAAACTAGAATTGGTGTAGTCCAATCACGTTAAGATTTCTTCTGCCGTGACTCTATCCACTTCCAAATCAGTTACAACAATGCAATGGTGTTTGAATTGACAGTAAATTCTAATAAAAGGTAAAACCAAAACAAAAGTAAAACTTATCAAAGTACACGTGGGTTGCCATAGCAATTCCAATAACTTAAAAAATAAACCAATACATACAGGATAGGTGCAACACGTGTAGGCCAACCATAAGTTTAATTAACTAATTTATAATAAAAATCTAATAAGTGATAATTTCTTTACACTACAATATCTCAAATTAAATTTATCTGAATTCACTTTTTCTCTGGCCTATAATAAGCAATTAATGACGAGCTATCCAACGAGTATAATATTGACATATTTATTTTTTTTGCTCAATTGAAACCTAATATTTGACCCAAATAAAATTGAATTATCACTTATATCACTTTAGTCCATAACTTTCCAAAATGTAGCATATAGTACAAATAAAATTTTCTATAAATTCTCAGGGTGTTACACAATTTACCAAACTGCTAAAGTGAATGATTTTAACGTCATGGCTTGTGAAAGTTTGGAGAACAGTCGTATTTAATATTTGAGCCCATTTATGCATACGTTATTTTGCATGTAAATAAATTGCAATTTATAATTATTCGACAATAAGTATATATTAAGTTCTCAATCATAATACATTCTCCTAATGTTTTAGGGCATATATATGCAGAAGTTTATGTAAGAACCACAAATTTCAATGACTTTTTTCTGTGCCCTTTGGCTTTTCTTCACCTCTGCCATTATTAAAAGATGGTCAAAACTGTTCGGACACACACTCGTCTTTCTATTTTATGAAACTTTTTGGACTATGCATAGGTAAAATTATTCCAGTTGATCATCGATGATCAACTTGAATGCGATTCTTGAATCTATTGAAGGTTGCTTATTTGGACAAGTGATCAGCACCAGCACAACTAAAGTTAACGACATGATGTTTGATTGTACCTAAAAGTAATTTATCGGTTACATTTTCTTAACACAACTACATATTTAGCTACCTTTCTCCCCATACTCTAGATGAATTATAACGGTGGTCAACTGTGATCACCGTTATTATTATCAGAGTTCATAAGCTGGGAAACGAGAGCTACGGGGTTGAATCATGTCGAGAAAAAGATAAGCCATTCCCCCGACACCTTCGAAAAGTGAAAATGGAACATCTCCTCCATGCATTTCACCACTTGACATAAGCACGTGAGCTCTATCAAGTAAAAAGCAGGCAAAAGCTTTGGCTCTATACAGATACTCGACAATGCCAGTCAGTCGATAAAGAGAGAGGAACACATAAGCATTTCCACTAATGCCATGACAAATCCCGACTCGTTTAAGAAGGCCACGATTCCAAACGACCTCTGCTGCATTCATGGCAGCTTCCAGAAATTCTTCATCTCCAAAAACCTTATCATTGAAATTTTTAGAGGAATTTGTTAGCAACACAATTAACAAATACATTACATGGAGAAAAAAGAAAAACAAATGCAATGCCAAAATTCAGTTTAGTGCAACATGAAACTACAAGATTTCAGCAGCAGAGATTCACAGTTTTGTTGCATCACAATGCCAATGCAGAATGAACAAAATTTCCTAACATCAATCAACATTATGAACTCATAGATGTTGCGATTTTTTGTTCAATAAAGCTTTGCACCTTCCAATACACTTGGTTACAAACTACTTCAAGGAAAAATATGCTTCTGCAAAAATGTTACAAGTTCAGTACGTTAAAAGCGAGAAAGTAAGCTAATAATTTGGAAGTGAATGAAAAAGTGAAGTTAGCCTCTCTTAACAAATTCTTGTTAATGAGATATCCAACGCATTTAGAATCAACAAATCCACCAATGAAATTCATCCCTCTAACTCCATACTAAAAGGTATATTATCGGAAGATAACACGAAGCTGCTATATGAAATAAGAGATCCATAGAAGCCCAAAAAAAAAAAATGCAGGTACATGACCAAAGACAACTACTTCATCAAAAAGTGTCAGCCACAGTAGGCATGGCAATGGGCTGGGCGGGTATTTTGTATACCTAAGCCACTTTCAAATTCTATAGGCAACTATACTTGCACTGAAGTGGCAGCATTACCTCAGCTGCTTTGACAAGAGTGAGGGCGATCCCAGGAGCTCCATGACACCAATGGATAAGAATGTCTCTCTTCGTATCTTCTTCACTTGCAGGGTAGTTCCCACCAGGAAATCGATTCTTGATCATGTATTTAAGAGTTCCCCTGACATCTTCACGTGCATCTGATGTCAATTCAAAATCCATCAACATATGTGTGATTCCTGCTAACCCATGAGCCGCTCCCCAATATTTCTCACCGTACCATTCAAACATCAATGGACTTCCTCCCTTTCCACCCAGTTTTCTTCCGCTATTCAGAATTTCCATCACAACAGACCCGTGGTACATATTGAAGAATTATCTAATTTCCGTCAAAAAGTTGGAGCTTTTTACATTACTATAACACTGACGATGACGATAATTTCGACAACTGTCTTACCATGGACGATGATGGAATTGTTTCCTTGCCTAAATGCTTGTTGATAAATAAACAAGCCCATAAGTATCCAACTCGACCATACAATAACTTGTTAGGATGATCTTTTGACAGCTTTATCTGCTTCCACAATCAAATATCTCTATTTAATTATATCAAAGAAAAAGAAATATCCTAAAAAATCAACAGCAGCAATCTAGACTAACCTCTTTAAATTGAGTCAAATAATATTGAAGGAGCTGATCATCATCCCTGTATCTTGCCACCACAGCACCAAGTGCACATACCCCAGCTCTCCCACACATAAATGTCACATCCCTAACAACATCACATCATTCATAAGAAAATTCTAGAAAGTACATTGAGTCAAGCAAAAATGTAAGATAAAGATACAATCTCTCTCAAGTAGAACCACACAACCTCAATCGTGAGTGCCCTTTTCCTTACCACATCATTTTGAAATTGAAATCTTAAGAAAGGAATATATAAAACTCCCTATAAGTTAAAAATAAATTATATCAATAAAGCCACAAACTTTTGCACTTTATTATGATTTCCGTACCTTGATTTCTGTCGTCCTTTTAATTCTTAAAGAAACCTAAAGAATAGAGATTGCAACGAGGCGGGAAGGGGGCACCCCGCTGGGGCAGGGAGGTAGCACCCCGCTGGGGATTTTGGCTATCCCCCTCCCCGTTTACTGTCCCCTTTATATTTTCGTTAACCTTTTTAACTTCTGCACTTTATTATGATTTTCATACCTTGATTTCTATCGTCCTTTTAATTCTTAAAGAAACCTAAAGAATAGGGATTGCAACGAGGCGGGAAGGGGGCACCCCACTGGGGATTTTGGCTGTCCCCTACCCCATTTACTGTTCCCTTTATATTTTCGTTAATCCTTTTAGCCAAGGATGTTGGCGATCCCCTGTCCCGTTTCCTGTCCCCTCTATATTTTCGTTAATCTTTTCAAAGTTTTTCCTATAAATTCTACGGTAATTTGGGAATTAGGTTAGTAGGTTTGGTAATCAATGGGGTTTATGGCTAAAGTGATTTTAATTAAAATTTGAATCTTTTGAAAAAAATAACTTAAAATTGGGGCACGTCAGGTCTCTGGTTTGGCAGGTCAAATTGTCATCCCTACTAAATAACAATTTTCTTAAAGGAACTGAAACAATATTTTGCAACATCCAAAGCACAATGCACAATCACTGCATTTTAATTTTAGTTGAAAAATGTAGTTTGGTTTCCCATTTTTTCAAATTGGGAAAGTTACACCAGAGTTCCCGACCTTTCCAATTTGTCGTACTTGAGTACCAAGTGGATGTTTCCATCCAAATGGTACCCAGAACAAGTACAAGACACGCTTGCTGGCCGAGGGTTCCTTGAGGTAGCCAGTTTTGACTTCAACAGAACATTCAATCCTATAGTCAATTCCAACACCTCAGGGCAATACTAACTGGTGCTATAGCAAGACATGGGATTATCTGACAATTGGACATAAACTGCATGCTTTTCAATGGGAAATTATAAGAAGAGGTATATATGGAGCAACTCCCAGGATTTACTGATCCCAAACAGCCTAACCTAGTCTGCAAGTTACCCAAGTCATCATATAGATTGAAACCCCTAGGGAATGGTTTGGACAAATTGCATCTAGCTCATTTAGCTTCTGGCCATGTCTTAGCCAAAGCAGATCATACCCTGTTAATGTCGCTACAACTAACACCTTAGTTGTTGTATTAGTAAATGTGGAAGATATCTTGGTGACGGGAAATATGAAACGTTAGTGCAACGCCTTCTTAACCATCTAAACGGCACATTTTCCCTCAAAGATTTAGGCTACATTGATTATCTGGAGAATGAAAAATCTCACAAAAGAAGGCTTTCATTTATCCCAATCAACATATTAAAGATCTCCTTTGCAAGGCTAACATGCGATGTGCCAACTTATGCATGACTACTCAACTCCCACGGGTAGGCAGTAAAGACGATACTCAGGTACTTGCAGGCTAACTTTGCACTTCACCTCACACAATCTGCCACCTGAATCTGGTGGAGATTGGGATGCCCAGTTCTAACTGGTGAGTGATCCTAGCAATCGAAGGTCCACTTGAGGGTATTGTGTTTTCCTTGGCTCTAATTTAGTTTCTTGATACTCAGGAAAGCAGCCAACTATATCCAGATCTTGTATGGGGGACGAATATAGGAGATCGGCTAATGTTGTAGTAGAACTCGGCTAGTTCTCATCCCAGAAATGAATCACAAAAGCGGGAATTCTATTGTCGAAGGATATTGCTTCTGCGGCCCATATATGAACAGAAACACCAGTATAAATTTCTCCCTTTGTTTATGAGGTATCAGTTTGGTAGAAAGAAGGTATAGCCAAAAACACAGTTTTGAATCTGCTTGTGAAAGGCCCTCTACTCTAGTTATTCCAGGCTGGCTTTCTTTTTAGGATGTTAAGAATTCCAGTTTCCAAATCCCCTGCTATTTAGTTCAATAACTAGTCAAATGTCCAGCTTGCAGCTAAATAAAATCATGCGTTGCATGCCAGGACCAAGCATGTGGAACTAGATCTATATTTTGTGCAATAGAAGCTATTAGAAAAGAAGATACAACTTCAGCAAATCCTTTCTATCTCCAGCTCAAAGTTCCCACTGTTACAATACAAATTTAGCCTCCATTCATGTAAGCTCATTAGAAGCTTTTTAGGAGAAATAGTATTGGGTCCCGCGAAACGTGCGAAAAATAAATTAGTATTTATTAATATGTGGTTGAAATTAATGTTTGACTTTGACGGAATGAAAAAAATGAACTTATAACTTTTTCGCTTATCCGAACACAGGCTTAGAGCCTTGGATCTTACTATAAGTTTGAGGGGGCTGTTAACAACAGAGATATTGTTAAATTAAGTTACTCCAGTTCCTAGGTGATAGTTGCTTAACTCGTAAACAGAGCAAAATCTAGGTCTAGATTTCCCAATTGAAATCGGAATTGATAGCATGACTTCTTTCTCTTCTCTCCCTCTTTGCTTTCTTCTTGATGGCGATCAAGACAAGAATAAAGATAGAGATAGATTTTAGTAAGGATTTTAAAGCAGAGTTTGATTTAAACTATATTTATTTAGATTATATTAGATTAGTTGGAATATTTCGATAAGATTCTAATTTATTAGAGGTTCTTTTGATTTTAATTTCTTTCACTTTCTTGTACTATAGATAAAAGGCTTATACATTGTAATATTTAACCCTTGAATATATGAATAAAAATTGATTTCCTTTGCCCTCAATTCTTTTCTTTTTTTGCACCTCATTTTTTCTTGTTCGTCAACAAATTATACGCTCTAGCGTCAATTTGACATCAGGGCGATTTGTCCTCCTTTGGCCTACACCTTCTCAAATCAAAAAATTCACCAAATGCTTTCATCCAATCCATATACACACCGCCGCTTCCACCATCTATCCAAGCCCTATAATATGCAAAAGAAAAAAAAAACCATATAACAACACAATATACAAGAATTCGTATCGATCGCAGTAGCCGCTTTTTCCTCTTTTTAGTTAGTGAAAAAAATCCGAAAAAAAAAAAATGTAACAGATTGGTCATATGTTCTTGAATTTAGTTACAGTAGTTTAAAAGAACGAAAAAAAAGTGCAAAAAAATTAAAATTAAAATTAAAATTAAAATTCATTTTCGTTCACTGCATTGCTGTTGCTGTTCAAAAGTTTCTTTGGTGTTTATCCAATAAATCTTCAACTGCCCAATTGTAATATATCAAAAACCACAAATCCCACACCCAGCAAGTCCATTAACCCAACCCACAACCAATATACAATACCCATAACCCGATTCATTCGACTAATTAATGATGGGATAATTAGATCTAATACCCTCCAAAATTAAACAATTAGAATAATACCCTAAAACTAATTAAAACTTTTACTCCCGTAATTAATACGCTCAAATCCTCCCGACTTAAATTACCTGCACAGCCTAAATCATCTTCCCCAAAACTAAACCATTGCTGAAGGAAAGAAAAACCCCAACTGTGCACCCCAAAATCCTCGCTAGTGTCTACATCTAAATCATCATCCCCAAGATCGGCACCAAATTCTGCTCGATTTCAAGCTCAACAACATATTTTTTCACCTTTGGAGGATTTAACCCTTTTGGAGGAGGAGGCCAGCAGTATACATTTCACTTTGAAGGAGGATTCCCTGGTGGGGGCTTTGGTGGCTTCCAGTTTTGACCTCGAGGAAGTTTGGAAATATGTTTCATTAACAGCTTTTCTGCTGAGATTCCAGAGAGTATTTAGAACAGCAATTTTGTCTAACCCCTACACCTGCAATGCACACCTTAATAGGCAATTTTTGCATGCTGCCCGATTACGAAAAGCTCTTATTTGAGGAAGTTTAGCTTTGCGTGGGATCTACATTCTGAAATTTTAAAGATCATAGTTGATTGGAGGAAAATGAAAACCTTTTATTTGAATCGTAGTGTGTGCACAGCATATATAATTATTTTATGGAGTTTTATGGAAGGCCAGTGAAATATATATCCCTCTTAATACAAGAAAATTGATATACATATATATATATATATTTCAAAGTGCATCCCAAGTCAGTTTGACACTTTTTTTTATTGTCCGTCACTTTTTTAATTTGTGTAACTTCTTTAATTTATGTCACTTTTTTGAATTCGTCACTTTTTTAAAAAAATTTATCACTTTTTTTGAATTTATCACTTTTTTTTAGTGTTTGTCACTTTTTTGATTTCTATCACTTTTTTTTATTGACAAACATCCGTTTTGTTACTTTTTTTAATGTTTTTGATTGATGTTTTGTCACTTTTTCGCATGTTTGCAGTTTTATAAAACTTATTGTCACTTTTCTAA